TACCCATTCGGTACACCTGCCACCATCGTTCGCAATAATATAATTACATGCAGTACTACGTCATGCGCAGGCTTATGTGATGAAGGTGCCTTTTAATTTCCCCTGATTGATATGGTAGCGTAAAATAAGTAATTATTCTTTTAAGTTATTGCCTTCTATAAATACTATTCAAGAGTAGTGATTATAACAAATAATTTGTCTTATTCTTGTACACTTCTTTGTTCGAAAGATGTTTTATTACATTACGATTACCACGTATCAATACAACTTAGAAAAAAATATTAATCGTTAAGTTCACAATAAAAGGTTCAGAAATGTGTGAGCGGGTTAACGAAACATTTTCGGCTTGAACATTATACGCGTAAGTAAAAAGTTGGAGTTGGGATCGTACTAGTTAAATCACACGGTTACTCATTCCGCTGTTAAAAATTATACAATACTTCGTAAATTTGGCAGGTATTTGAATATTACTTTTATGATGTTTACAATAATTATTACGAACAGAAAAAAATCTCATCACCCGTGACTCCACTGGTGGGTAGGGTAGTTGTAGTACTGGTACATGACCGCGCCGCCTTTCTACGCATTAATACGAAGTGTTGGTAAGTTCTCCAAAGAATTTTTCAAAGAAATATTGATATAAGGTTAATTATATGAACTATTGTAATTCATTAAGCTTAGCCAAAGCAATTTATGTTGAAGCTCGTTGTAAATAGATAAAAAATCGATATACATAATCCACAATGTCCACAGTCGAAATTTTGATTGTTTTTACAAATTTACGGAAGGATTCAACCAATTTTCAGAGCCTTTTTTGTATGACTAATCAATCTATAAGTTAACTTTCACGAGAGGTTTCAAGAATCGAAGATCAAAGTTGAGATTACTTTCAAAAGAGCGCTCGGTAGTCAACACGCTCAACTTCGCCAAGATCAGTCACGAACGGTTTACAAGTGAAGTGTCCGTGTGTTAATGTTTGTTACGAAACTATTCCATCTCTAGAGAACTTGGCGGTCTAATGAAAAAGAAGCGCATTCATTCCGCCGCAAAGAGCTTAAAAGAAGCACCACTTTGCTGAGATAAGATCCTTCGGCACAATAATTTGTTTTCTAAGTTAGATCGTAAACCTCTCGAAAAGGTTCGCAGCCAGCGATCCATTGACTTTTGGTACCAATAGTAGAGGTAGTCATTCTACTTGGAATCATTATACCTTTTTTTTTCTTTTCATTTGTTTATTTCTTTATTTCAGACAATCAACGGCGTTTGTCAAATAATAAGTAACAAAATAAATTTTATTTGTTTGTAACAATACAATAACAGATCGCCCCGTGTTATAAGGTAGTCAGTAAAAAGAATTTTAAACATAGAAAAAGTAGCAAACGTATCATCTAAGAGAAAACAGTAGGTATTTTAAATTTAAGTCGTGGACATAATATGGTGCATAGTTAGCTGGTTTGTCAAATTAAGTGGGGAAGTGTGTGTGCGTTTATGTCTGTGCATGTGTATGTGTGTGTCTACAGCTACAGGGCAATCAATGTTTGCGTCTAAAATATTGCACGTACATATATAACATATCCATTCATCGTTGTTCTAACAGTAGTACATTATTGTTCTTATAGCTGCCATTGTAAGATGAAGATGACTTAAATGTTTTAAAATTAAGAAATTTGACAAACTTCTGTGTGTATTTTTCTATTTCTATTATGTATTTTTTGTAGTTAGGTGACCAAATAGTTGATGCATATTCCAGTGTACTGCGTACGTACGCAGATCACTGTTTTTAAAACGTACAAGATCGCGATATGAGGAGCACATTCTCATCACGAAACCAAAGGATTAATTAGCGTTACTGGTTATAGTGTCAATATGATGACTGAAAGTAAATTTATGATCTAAATGAACACCTAGGTCACGGACATGTTCCACTGTATTCAACTGAGCTATTGTGAGACTTTATAGGACAGTGCTTTACAGGACGAGGGCTATGATATTACTCATGTACTATGACTGAAAGATATTACCTGTATAAACTGTGATACGATTTCTCTTATAATATTCGACCAAACAATTGATAGCGTTTCGGAGATACATGGTGTGATTTTCCGATTACATTGCGTGATATATTTTTATATCATCGGCGTACATAAGAAATTTAGAGTGCGATATGCAATTATATATATAATATTAATATCATATAAAAAGGTATTACAGAATGGTAGAGCCAGGACGGATCTTTGGGGTACCCCAGAGGGTATATTAATATAGTCCGACCTATAGCCGCCGGCCGATGACAACCGTTTGAGATCTACTGGTGAAATAAGACTTCATCCATCACAATAGATCCCCATGTATTCCCAGAACGTGGAGTTTTGATAAAAGGATAAAATGATCGACCCGATGAAATGACAAAGTTTTGCAAAGATTTTACTGAAGACATTTAGAATGGATATTGGTCTATAATTTTCTACTTTGGTGAAAAGATTTTTTTATAAACTGGGACAATTTTTGCCAGTTTCCATTTGTCAGGAAAACACCTTTCTTTTATATATTTATTAAAAATCAAAGACAAAGGTGGTGTCTTGTCTGTGACTTTATACATTTGACAACAAAGATTGGAGGTATTCTGTCATCCCCAGTGCCTTTGTTCGGGTCCATTTTACTAAATCTGCTTTTCTTCTATATGCAGAGCAGATATTGCCAGCACTCAAATTTTGAGATGGTATTACTTCTTGAGAGCAATAGTTATTGGTAGGGTGGCTGAACGTGCTGAAAATATCTATTAAAAGCGTCGGCTACACCGGGTCCACCGTGCAAAATGTTATTATCGTAGGTGAGAGATTTTAAACATCAAAGGGTTCTAAAATCAATGATATTACCATCTTCATGTATCCCAAGCTTTGATCAGCCTTTCTTGGTTACAGTATGTACTATAAAATGGAGAATATCGAGTTCTTAGGTTTTCACGCTTGTCACACATAGGAAATTAAACTATTTTTTCTGATCTACGTCGCCTATATTTGTTTTACAAATAAACTTGTGTTTCGGGCTAACTAAAACGTTGGTTTGTTTGAAAAAACAAATATATCTACACCATTTTGATCCGAAAAAAATTTCATTTCTTAAATGAGAAGGTTAGAAATTTTAGTAAAAATATCAAGTTTTGTTCTTATGGTATAGAAGTAAGTATGGTTATGTATAGCTTACTGGTTTTTTCTTTGAACTGTCTTATTGTATATATTTCGTTTCAATCCATTTTAAGCAAAATGTAAGCAAACAAGTCATTGACCCGACCATAGACGGTTTAGTGATGGCGAATTTTACTACCAACTACAAATCCATCAATTAATTGAATGAATCGATTTATTTAATTGAGTCATACTAGTGGTTCTCATTACATAACATATAAAAGCATATTTAAAATTTCCTAAATCTTAACTTTAAATCTTCCTTGAAATCCTTACAATTAGATACTCGTTCGATAGCGATTAAAATTTTTGATTTACTAATCGATTATAAAAAATTTAATTGAATGAACTGAAATGAGTGTATTTTTCCATACAGCACTGTTCAACCATAGACTACTCATACATCTTTGATTAAAAATAACCCCACTTTTTGACTGCCATTTTTCAAATACGATTTTACGATGTTATTCAAATGAATATTATTGGAAAAAGTGATGAGATATCAAGTCAAAATCTTCGAAATATACGTGAAAGTGTTTACTTATTTGATTTATTGAGTGATTACTTTAGAAATTCGACCAAACCGTTTTGTTTACATTTCGTTTAAAATGGATTGAAACAGATTATAGACTTAGGTTGAGATTTATAAAACTTTTATAAATCTCTTTTAAATTAATATGTGGATAATGTTGTTGATTGTACGTGTACTTATGTCACTTAACCTAACAACAAATGTAATCATACCATGTACAATTGTTTGTTATCCCTTGAAAATAAATAATAAAAGAAACGAACTTTCACTTCGACTAAGCAAAAATGGCAAGCAGAACAAGTTATCCGTATATACGAAAAGACTTTACCTAAGTTTAAGCAAGAAAATATATTATAACTTTGAGCTTACTTCGTAATTTCTTGCTTAAACTTAGGCATAGTTTGTTTTGTAAATACGATAAACTTGCTGAGCTCACCATTTTTGTTTAGTCGAAGTCAAATTTTATTTTATGTATCTCACCCTTAGAGTTGAAGTTCGTACCTATAAATATACTAAGATAAGATTTATATTTCAATACAATATATACTCTAATTTTGTCAAAAATTTTACAAACAACTGAGCACAGTCAACATTATAATCAGAGCTAGTAAAGAAAGTTTATAGGGCAATTTAACAGTTTATTGCCGCTTGTCCCTCAGCTGACATAAAAGCAATTAAACTATTTTATTTTCGCGAAACTGAAAATTGCTTAAAGCAATTGTAATTGTGGTATCTCGATTATATTATTATTGTTATCCTTTTCTCTTTCGCTTTGTGGACAGGTAATGAAAGATTGCGCAATAAATAGGGGTTGATAAGAAAGCACGTCTCGTCTTTTTATTAAGTCAGGATAACACGAACAAAATGATATATTTTACATATGATTCATTTTGATACCTTCTATGAAAAATAATCGTAAACAATATGTGAACACATGACAAATATGAACAAGAAAAGAGGAGTTTAGTAGCAGTAGAGCACCTTTACTTTATATTCCTTATTTAAAAAATACGATTTTTTAATACACTCGACTATAGATATAGTTATTTGTTCAATAAGAGAGCAAAGTCGTTTTTTGGTGCGAGTGCTGTTTTTGAGTCCTGAGCAAGCGAAAGATTCTATAGTTGAATCACGAGCGTAGCGAGTGATTCAGAATTAGAATCTTGAGCGAAGCGAGGGACTCAAAAATACGAGCTGCAAAATAACTTTGCTCTCGCGTGATACATACAACTTTTCACCTCAGCAGCGAGAACATATATATATACTAAAGGGACAAGTAATAAAAACACGTCATGAAAGCAAATGCATCATTGTATATTTACAAAAATACAGAATTTACAAAAAATTAAAAGTGGAACGTGAAGTTTGTACAATTCTGTAGATTAAAAGTTACTGTTTTATTTGGAACAGTAATCGTCGTAGTGTTTGCTACTTGAGTAGTGGTCGAGGTTTCATTATGAGTTGAGCTGGATTGTGACCCTTCCCGCACCGTAAAAGTTGGTGATTCTGGGCGGGTTTGGGTATGATTCGCATCACTGGAGGTGCTAGGTTGTGCCCAAGAATGCGAAGACTGTTTTAGGTTTATCGAATCTATAATACGCTTACAGATTTTTGATTTATTTTCTATTGAATCTTCGATATATCCTTCAGCCACTGTATTTGATCTCCAACCGCCATGGCGCTTCAACGTTGTGAGGTCAGCTCCTCCATCTGCCAAAAGAGTGGCTGATGTTCGCCTGAAGCAGTGGCCAGTGTATAGCTGCGGCTCTTTCAAATCTAAAAATGTTGCGATTTCTCGTGCAGTCGCTCCTATTTTATTAATACCCATCGGTTGCCGCGTACATTTTCCATTACGATATTGTATGAAAAAGCGGTCTGTGATCGTATTGGGAGGGCGCAATGCTTTATATTTCTGGACAACGTGTGCGTATTCCTCACGGACGACGAACGACCTGTCTATATTTGTTTTCGTATTTGGCAGGTTAATCAAAAGAAGGTCGCTGGAATGTTGTTCAATGGCATTAGGAGTTAGATTCAATAACTCGTTGGAGCGGCATGCTCCGTTTATTCCAATGATAAGGATGACCTGAAACATAAATAAAACGTCAATAAGTATTGTGTCTTTTAGAGCAGTCTTAAACGTGGATTTCTCATAATATGTAGCGTTATTTTTAACCATAAAGTTCCAATACAAGTCGCCAAAACAACACATTTAAGTAGGTAAGTATAATTATGTTGATAGAAATTGATAACATAACTACCAAAGTCCAAATTGTATTAACAATTAAAATATAACGCTACGACAACAGTAATAATATTCAATACTTACTTTTGCGGCTAGGAAAGTGCAATCTGGAGCTTCATTAAGAAATTTTTCAATATTAGCAGCCGTGAAAACTTTCGATTTTTTTGATTTGTGGCCGACGGCCGATCTTTTCAAAAACGCAATCAGCTTTGCGTAAGTGTTTATATGGACGTTATTTTTAGTTTGTAATGTAGCTTTCAACATCGAATATATACTCCACATCGTTGACGGCTGTTTTATATGCGACATTTCAATGAAATAAGACAGAAGCACAGTTTCCGACATAGTGTTTCCTGCGCCCTTTTCGTGCCTCCATTTGTCAAAATGTTCGTAGACTTTCAGGTACTTTTCACGAGATTTACTAGGCAAGAAACTTAGTTCAGCATTTTTAACAGTTTCAACTAACTCTGGAGGAATTAAAAAATTGTCGTCTTCACTGGAATCGCTCATATTTTCTATTTTATTACGTAGGTAGGTATCCAATTAACTATCAAAGAAGTACCTATCGCAAGCAAATAAGAAATTTTGAATTAAAAAAAAAAGAAAGCGCGCTTTTATTTATTGCGTTCCGGAACGTTCTCGCTTGTATTCATTGAAATCACACATTGTAAATATTGTTATCTTTAATTGACGTTATAAATTTAGCATATTTTTATTGCAACACTTGCTTTATTTTTAATGAAAATTGTAAAAACTAAATTATCATAGTATAAAATCGTATTTGTATTTCTCACATAATTTATCTTTTAGATGAATTGACGAGTTTCCGAACGTGCACCCGTTCAGCCATTTTGTGGGGGTCTACTATGTAGCTTAAATATCGAAGTACGAATAAACCATAATTTTCTTTTTCCTTTTTCTTGTAATGAAGTGAAAGGGACGGAGCGACTGATTTTGAAATATGTCGAATTTGTATTAGACCCCTTCGCATTAAATGACAAGTCTCCACTTAAAAAGCAAAAAGCTACTTTTTCTCACGGAGTGAGCAAAATAAGATTTTGCTCACTGATTTCACACAGCAAAATAGCCTTGTTCGAGCTGCTGAGGTGAAAAAAATTTTAATCATTACGAATAAATTCATTTCACAGACTTGAAAGTAGAAAGAAATGTTTTCCGACAATAATTTTTAAGGATTGGGGAAGCTAAATAAAAAGAGTAGATGATGCAATAAATTAACCTGTAAGTATAGAAAAAGAAAAAGCTGCACTCGTGGCCGTAGCAATAAATTTACGCCCATAAATTTATTCTTATGACCGTACCACCTAGACTATAATTCGGCTAATTATGAACAAATTAATTTTTAAAGGGTTTGGCTTCATTTGTAGGGAGGAAGGAAGACCTATTCTACTAAAAGTGTGATATGGCCAGGCACTAATACTTTGTAAATTTCTTGTACCATAAAAGTAGATGTCTAGATACGTCCCAAATATTACATCCCACATCAAGATTGAGACGTTTTAAATCGTAAACCACTAAGTTACACTATAGAGTGAAACCAGTCTATTACCTTCATTATCTTCATCTCTATCACTACGTACAAAATATTTTTGGAATATACAGGAGAGGCCTGCTCTTTGGTCGCCTGCGTAAAAAATATTCATTCCTCTTGTCAATGAAATACGAAAAACATAACACCGCAACTGTTAATTAAGTTAAATATAAATAGTTTTACGTCTTTAAAGTGTAACTTATGGTAAATAAATAAATAAACAAATAAATAAATAAACAAATATAAGAAAATTTTGCTTTTGAAGAAGTTACTTGTAAAGTATTATTTGTTGATTAAAAAGTATTGCTTAACAATAGAAAGTACTTGAGACATACAATTCAATTCAAATTTAGTTTTCCTACACTTTTTTAAAAGTCAAAGCTAAGCCGGGTCAACCGTGACCATGGGACCTGTAAAGGGCCCGAAACGTCGGTTTGTTTGAAAAAACAAATATACGCGATTTAAATCCGGAAAAACAGTTTCATTTCCTAAATATAAATAAGTTAGAACACAAGACTTAGGAACATCCGGCATCAGAGCATACGCTGGTTTTCTATCAATAGATTTTTCATACTTTTTCCAAATGCGAATTTTGAGATTATAAATAAATAAATAATCTTATGTTACTTATGTGCGATAATTAATCAATATTGTTTTACGAACTATGCAATCGCTCATTAAACTTTGCCAATAGCGCGGTAATTAATTAGTAAAGGATTTCACTATTCATTAATCAAGTCTTTAGTGTTTCTTGTGTTTGTTTTGTAACAAAAAATAAACTTTTGAAAGTCTTTTACAGGCAAATCGATGTCGAAATGATACACATGATATTGTTTTGTTTCCATCTAAGTAATATAAATAATAATAATGCAAAATAACTGTTTAAATAATTTAGCGTACCTAATTCAATTAGAGTAATCAAAATCATAATATAGAAGACAAACGAATTTAACAAAGATCTCGGAAAATATTCACTGTTTTAATGGTAAAATCAATTTATCGTTCAATTAAGTTGTTTTTTTAATAATATTAA